TCTTCCCTCAGAATCTGACCCAGAATCCTGACTTATCAGTGCTTTTTATATATGCAATCTGTGGTCACAGACCTGAAGTACAAAGTACAGGTACTACCCCAGGTGACTAACAGAGGCAGATGCAGTCTTTTATAAATGTCATTGGTTACAAGAGGAAGATCAATCTGAACGTATTAAAATATGACAAAACAATAACAAAAGCACGCGTCTTCAATTATTATGCATAATTGGAATTTATAGGTATATAAAAATTAAATGTGGGGTTAAAAGTTAATAAGGTTATTTGTAAAGCATGCTAAAATACATCAATTTCTCTAGAAAGTTTAAGGCAAGGAAGAATAGAACCAAAATAATAGAATGCTATACACAGTGATCAACTGTTCTCTATTTCGTGTGCATGTATGGTGTGTCCATATGTGTGTGTGTGTGTGTGTGTATGTGTGTACATTATCGTGTGCCGGTGTGCATGCATGTGTGTACCCACATGGAAGCTCAAGGTTAATGTTGAAAATTATTCTCCATTCCTCTTCCACTTTATTCCATGAGGCAGAATCTCTCAGCCAAACCCAGAGATCACCAATATGGATAGTCTCACTACCAAACGTGCTCTAGATATCCCCTAACTCCACTCTGAAGCTAGGATGACTGGCTGGCCTCCATTATGACACGGAATTTTTACTTTGGATCTGGGAATATAAACTCCAGCATAAGTGGAAAAAGAGCTTAATCTCTGAGCCATCTCTCAAGCCTTGAGCCACTGTTTTGGGTATGTCTAAGACATTAACCAAATTTATATGGTCACATCTTCCCAATCAACATACTTGATAGGCCCATCTCTACAGCAAACTTTTATTTTTGTTATCTCTTTTCTTCCAATGGATCGACACAATTTGGAATGTATTGTTATTGGCAATAGATATATTTATTATGGTCTCTAAGTTTTCATAGTTTAGATGAGAAAATCTATAGTACTTAAAAACCAAACATTAAAAACAGTTTATAAGGGTCATCATCATGACCCCACATTGCTCTCACTCTGTCATAACATGTGGTGTACTGAACCAAAAGCCTTAGTTCTAGACAAAGTAGCAGGTGACAACTCTGTTTATTTCATGTTTCTCCATTTGATTTCCAATGATCTGAAGTTCCTAGAAAATAACCTACACTCTTATTAAAGATTTTGCATGGCTGATTGACCGATTAGAGCTTCCCTGTCATTATGGAGAATTGGAATGTTACAAGTCCTGAGTCAAGTTCTCTTGGGCTTCCTTTTCCTCATTTGTTAATTTTATTTTATTTTTATTTCATGTATATGAGTGTTATGTCTGCATGTATGTAAGCGCACCCCTGTCACGCACTGTCCATGAAGGACAGAAATAAGTGTCAGATTCCAAGAACTGAGAGTTACAGATGGTTGTTAGTCAACTTGCCCTTGCTGGGATTCAAACCAGGGTCTTCTACAAGAGTAGTCAGTGCTCTGAACTGCTAAGCCATCTCTCCACCCCCTATCTTGGGTTTTCTTTAGCCTCTTCTGTAGCTGTTTATTGCCTTTGTCTGTCTTTGACCTAGCCTACCTGTAACTGCTAGGTAAAATTCTTTTGGAATGTACAAACAGAGCTTCCCCCAATCCTAAGGCTAAGAATGTCATCAGATAACACCTGAGGCCTATGGCAGAAATTCTCTGCTTTGCTGTAAACTGCCAAGCTCAGGTTCCCATCCATGTATTTCAAAAGCCCCGTCAATCATAACTTTCTTTGTTCTGTTCCTATTAAACCCTCATGAAGCTGTTACCACATTGGTACATGGTAAGTGACGTGACTAGAGTCCTGGGCCATGATCGTGCACATTTGATTCCAGAATAAATGATCTCTGTCCCCTGTGAGATGAGAGTTATTTGGGGGGTTGACACTGAAAACATACTGTAGACCTTCCAACAACCTCCATCTGTGGTGTGAAAGGAATGTCACATTTTCTTGGGAAAGAAACTGAAGTTTGTCATCAGAGCTAAGTTCCTAAATGGAATAATGAGGTGGTAGGTTATGGTCCGTAGTTCAAAGATATCTCTAATCAGCAGGTATTTTATTCCACCAAGTGTGAAGAGCAAGTGAATACTTTTAGACATGGACGTTCTGTATGGGGCAGTCTTAGTGAGTGCTATCATGTGGCAGTTCTGCTGGGGCTATGAGGCTACCTGCTGATATACCGAATTCAATACCCAAGACGTGGGCCATTCCCTCACTTCTTTGAAACACAATGCCAGCTGCCTTTCTAACAAGGAGACTATGAAAATGCTTGCCTTTTTCCATTGATATCTGTTTTTCACATCTTAATATAATGACATACATTATGCAGTACTTGATGGTAAGTATTCAATTTAAGAGGGTTTTTGAAACCTGTATGGAACACTTAAAACAAACAATATCAGAAAATGGAAAATGGTTAAAGGTTTCGCTGAGGAAACCCTCATCTTCACTTCTCTGTTACAAGAGCTCCCTGGGTGTTCAGAGTGTAAATGCCGCATTAAGTGCAGAGCCTCTTAAGTGATAAATAGACAAAGCAAGTACTTTGAGGAGAAATACTTAAGATAACACTCTTCTACTGAAATTATGGCTTTGACACAAAATGTCATTCATTCAATCATTCAAGTCACTCCATTCCATTTCCCAAAGATAGGGGGAAAAAGTTGCATAGAAGCTCAGACACATTTCCTTGCTTGTACTGAAACAAACAAAATCTCAAAGGGATCTATTCCCAGTAGGGCACTGAGTGTATAAGCATGCCTTGATGTCAATTTGTATTAGAAGGGTAAAAGAATGGTTAACTGTGAAAGGCTTTACATTTTTGTCTTTTTTTCTTGTCACGAATAGCAGAACCCCATATCAACTTCTCGTTCTTCTTTCTGCCTAACAACAAAAAAGTCCTCTTTTAAGTTGGCACACACATTAACAAATCATATCAACATTTTTGTGAACATATGGGCAGATGCATGCATATGCTTGTGTCTCAAGACTACTGTGTGTTGTATTATCATGTGAACATGAGATCTTGGGAACAAACAAGAAAGGAAAGGTTCTAACTTAAAATGATGTACCCGAGTGCCAGGTTGACGGGGGGATGGATTTGTAATGACTAATCTTTGTTGTCAACTTGACATACTTGGGAAGAGGGAACCTCTTGAGGAATCTATGGATAATGAAGGCATCAGATTGACTGTGGGCCTGTCTGTGGGACATTTTCTTGACTGTAAATTGATCTAGGAAGGTCCGGCCCACTGTGGGTGATACCATTTCTTTGCAAGTGGACCTGAGCTATATAGAAAGGTAGTTGAGCAAGCCAAGGAAGCAAGCCAAGAAACTGTGTGCTTTCAGGTTCTGCCTCCAGGTTCCTGCTTGCATTCCTGCCCTGGCTTCCCTGGATGATGGACTATAACCTATAAGATGAAAGAAACCCTTTCGTCTCCAAGCTGCTTGTGATCATGGTGTTTATCACAGCAACAGACAGCAAACAATGTGTTGCCCCTGAAGCTGACATCCTCTGCTATAAATATTAGAGAACACAGATCTCTAAAGGGAAGAAGTAAGACCAGCCTCTCCCCCTATTAGCTACAAGATAAATTCATGTTTTCCTTGCTCCTTGTAAGGAAGATGCAGTCTGAATCAATCATGTGATGTGGAAAATCTGTCATTAGTTCCCTTTGTTCTCTGAAGGCTCGCTCTCTCCTCCAGTGTCCCATCCTCAGTCATGTTGTGACTATAGTTATTTTTCTACTCTTCTGCCTTAATTTACCTCTCCTAATTATGCTCCTCTCAGGTTTGTGAAGGGAAAGCTCTCTCTCTCTCTCTCTCTCTCTCTCTCTCTCTCTCTCTAGTCATGTTCCCTCTCTTAGTTATACTCCTCTCTGTTGTGTGTGGAGAGATCTCTCTCTCTCTCTCTCTCTCTCTCTCTCTCTCTCTCTCTCTCTCTCTCCCCCCCATCATACTGCCTCTGGTATGATGCTTTATTTATCCTAAGCTCTCCCACTTTAAGGCCCAGTCACACCGCCCCCCCATTGTCACAAGTCTCTCTGTTCTAACGAAGCTCATTCTGAAAGTATGATTTTGAATCAATTTAGTTTTCCATGATCCATTTCTTTCTGTAACAACATCTAGAGCTCCTATCAGGCTAGTTTCTTAAAACACAGAAGGATTATGATGATTTGAAACTGAGGTTCATTTTATTTCCTTGAGACAGGGTCTCATGTAGCCCAGACTAGTCTCAAACTATTTGTGTAGATAAAAATGATCTTGAATTTCTGATCCTCCTATCTCTATCCCCCAAGTTCTGGGATTATAGGTGTACAACACCATGTTAGTTTAGTTTTTCTAATGAGAAGCTGAGTAGCAAACCCAGAGTTTTCTGCAAGTTTCTATCAACTGAGCTATAGCCCCAGTCCCCTTGATGCTGAATTTAAGTTCCTTATCCCTCCTCACATAACTCCATTACAGATGGATGAAAGAAAAATCACCTGTTCTACCTTTGAAGTCATTTGGCTTTTCCTTGATAACTAATTTTGTGTGTGTGTGTGTGTGTCTGTCTGTCTGTCTGCCTGCCTGTCTGTGTCTGTGTGTACAGGGTTGTATGATCATGTATGAGGAGGCTGGGAGAAGATGACAAATATCCTGCTCTATCAATCTGCAACTTATCCCTTGAGGCACTATTGCTCACTAACCCTAGAGGTCGGTTGGCAGCCAGCAATCCTAGCAATACTCCTGCCTCTACAGCACCTACCCTTCCAGGGTGCTGGGGTTACAGGCATGAGCAGCCGTGCCCAGCTTTTTAGATGGATGCTGGGGATTCAAACTCAGGGCCTCACGGCGGCACAACATGGGTTGCACTTTCCTCCTCTGCGTCATCTCCCCAACTCCAAGACCTTATCTTATTCTAGCTCCAGATGTCTTCTTCACTGCCTTTCTGAGTATTGTCTGCTTCCCATTTTCTGAGCAGAAGTGCGTGGCACTCACCTCTCCTTCTCTGGGCCAGGGCCTTCCATTCTGCGTGTATTTGCTTTGATTTTGTCTCTTCTTTTGTCCTCCATCAGCGAATTTGCACAGTAAAGGCTCACTGGGGGCTGGAAAGATAAAGAAATCAAATCCACATTAGCAAATGCCCATACAAATAAGTAATTATTCCAGTTCGGGTCACAGTGGGGCTTTGTGATGAATGTCTTTTGAAGTAATATCTTGGCTCTGAGGAAATATTTGGCCCTCTTTCCTCTCAACTTTGCTGGCTGCTGTTCTAACTAGAAAAGTCCTGGCAGACCATAAAAGAGTATAATGAATATTGTTGAAAACTGGTTAGAGTAGAATGTGAACTTGCCTTAGAAGAGGCAAGCATCTAGCCCTCCAGTGGAATAAGACATGTTCATCATTGCTACTTGTGTGTGACTATTTCTCCCTCAAGCTCACTAGAGTTTCCTTATGCAAACTGCAGGAGTCGATTTTGAAAAGGTTAGAAACCAGAGCAGCAGGGTGGGGAAGGGAGCTAACACAAGGTTACCCCTTAGAAGTGAGCTTCATTAGGAGAGAGGGGGCCTAGCAGAACAATCAGGGTCATTGTTGAGCCTTCAGAAGGAAGAGCATCAAAGGAGACAGGGCATCATGGTAGGGGTCTAAAACAGAGATGAGGCTTCCCTTTAAACCCTCGAGGGGAGATTCATTAAGAGAGAAAGCTTAAGGTCAAAGAGTTAGGAGTGATAGCCACCATGGACAGCATGACAGGGGATCCAAAGGGGGAGGGAAAGTGCCTTCAGGGAAATAGTCCTGAACAGAGCAGAGATTCTGTCTTTTTTCAGTTTTAAACCATGTGACTTATTTCAAGATAGTCTACATGCCAAGGGCCGATATTGAATAGAGCTATAAAACTTTCTTACAGTTTCTAGGGGAAGGGGTTGCAAGATCATAGTACACCATGGCTTCTTAACTCTCTGTCCTACAGAAGGAGGGCAAAGGGTGAAGTAGGGGTGTAGCTTGATTTATCTAGCAGGTTGATCTGGTCTCTTAGAACGAGCAGTGCCAGACCCAGAAGAGATGGCTAAGAAGTTAAGATCATTGACGGCTCTTGAAGAGAGCCCAGGTTTGGTTCCCTGCATCCACATGGCAGCTAACAGTTGACTCGAGCTCCAGGGTATCTGAAACCCTCTTCTAGCCTCCGCAGACAGTTTGCACATGGGTGCACTGACACACATGCAGGCAAAACATTCATACATACAAAATAAAAATAAATAATAATAATAAATTCCTTATCTATTATCTAACAGAAAGAAATGCTTGAAAACTTTTTTTTAAAGAGGTGGTCATTTTTCTAAATTGAAACCAAATTAGTTTTGTTGCCTCACTAACCCTTTGTAATTTCATGAACGTTAGAAGTGGATATTCCATCCCCGCTTATCCCTTTCAGTTTCCTTATAAACTCTAGTGAGAATTCCAGGAAGGACAAGTATTTAGAATACTCAGTGAACAGGAATGATAAAATACCATTCAAATACACCAGAGCAGCTCCTGGGGAAGACGACTTTAGCCTCTGTCTCTGACCTGTCACTAAATTTTTAAAAATAAATTTTATTATTGAATGTTTAAGAGTTTCATACAGTAAATTTTGATCTGCACCCTATCTGCACCCTCTTATACACTCCCACCAATTTTCATGTACTCTGCCATATATATTAAGGCCTACTGAGTCTCAAACATTCTTCAGTGTGAATCCATCCACTGGAGTTTGATGAACCTATCTAGCATCACATCTCCTTTCCCACTAGTTATCCGTTGTCAGTAGTTTCTCAACTAAGATTGGGGCTGCTTCCCCACTTCCCCACTTTAATGCTGAGATTTTGTCTGGCTTAGGCTTGCATGGGCCTTTTACATGTTGTACAGTTGCTATGAGTTCATATGACTAACTTCCCAGCTGTTGGAAAACTGTTTCTTGGTGGTCATCTATCATCTATGGCTGTTGCAATTTTTCTGCCCTCTCTCTGAAATGACCCCTGAGTCTTGGGTGGCAGAGGTTTGATATAGGTGTCTTTTACAGGGATAAGCACTCTGTAGTCTTTTATTTTCTGCCCTTTGGCCAGTTGTGGCTTTCTGGGTTAATAACCGTCTGTTGGGTGAGCGATTCACTGTGAGAGTTAAAAGATGCACTAATATTCTTTCTTTCTCCTGTTCCACTATGCTCCCTGAGCCTGAGGTATACAGGCCTGCATTGTAGATGTGTCACTGAGGATTGGCACCTCAAATTCTCTGAATTTTCCCATTTGTATAATTTTGATGAGTGGTGAGAGGTATACTTGTCTGCAAATATAAGGCTACTTACGTAGAACACAGTAAGAAGTTATGATCATCTAAGAGTGTGATAAAAGTAGATTTTTCTCTAGGACCTATGACCTTTCCAGCCATATGTATTTGGCTATGTTTACAGTACCATACATAAGTTCCCTCTCATTGAGCAGGCCTTAAGTTCAACTGGACAGCTGTTGATTACCCCCAAGATAAAAATGCTACTACTGTTCCAGTAGAGATTATATACTGGGCTGGTCATTGTTGTGGTTTATACACTTTACATCTGGATGGAATCATTGATTTTTCCTCTCTTAACAGTTTGCATAGCATCTTCTGATACTACAGGAGTTAGTCTTCAGAGGGAAGTCTTCCAGATCAGTTGCAGCTCCATTGTACCAAGTCCAGTGTCCAAAGTTCATTCTGTCTTCAGCAATAAGGCCTTATCTGCATTCTGGGGGACATTCAAGGGCTGTGGCAATAGCCAGTATTATTTATTATGAAGCCTTTGTAAGTACTCTTGTCCTTTGCTCAGCGAATTGATTTACACACCCCCCAAAAAATATGTTTGTTTGACCAAAAAAGAAAACTATAGACTATATTCTTAAGGAACATAGATGCAAAAATTCTCAACAAAATACTTGCAAACCACATAAAGACATACATCAAAAAGATCATTCACAATGATCAAGTAGGCTTTATCCCAGAGATGCAGGGATGGTTCAATACACTCAATAAATGCCATTGATCATATAAATGGACTTGAAGACAAAAACCCCATTGTCATCTCAATAGATGCAGAAAGGCTTCTGACAAAGTTCAGCATGCATTTATGTTCAAAGTCCTAGAGGGAATTGGACTGGAGGGAACATACCTAAACATAATTAAAGCTATATACAACAAACCCACAGCTGATATCATTCTAAATGGAGAAAAACGGGAAGCGTTCCCATTAAAATCAGGAATGAGACAATGATGCCCATTATCTCCACTCCTTTTCAACATAGTGCTTGAAACTCTTGCTAGAGAAATAAGACAGGAGAAGGAAATTAAAGGACTACTAATTGGAAAAGAAGAGGTCAAATTATCCCTTTTTGTAGATGATATGATACATACCTAAGAGATCCTAAAAATTCCATCAGAAAACTCCTAGAACTGATCAACACTTTCAGTATAGTGGCAGGTTATAAAACCATCTACAAAAATAACTAGCCTTTCTATATAGTAATAACAAGCAAATGGAGAAAGAATACAGGGAGATGCTCCAATTCATAATTTCTGCAAAAAAATTAAAATACCTTAGAATAAATCTGATGAAAGACACCAAAGATCTCTACAATGAAAATTTTAAATCATTAAAGAAAGAGATGGTGGAAAACACCAGGAAGTGGAAGTACCTCCCATGCTTATGGATTGGAAGAATTAATATTGTTAAAATGACCATCCTACCAAAGCAATATATAGATTAATGCAATCCCAATCAAAATCCCCATGACATACTTCACAGAATTAGAAAAATGCGTCGTTAAATTCATATGAAGGTAAAAAAGACCCCAGATAGCCAAAGCAACCCTGAGCACAAAGAGCAATGCTGGGGGGATTACTATACTGGGTCTCAAAGTATATTACAGAGCTATAGTCATAAAAACAGCATGGTACTGATGCAAAAACAGACACATAGATCAATGGAACATCATTGAAGAGCCAAACCTGAGTACATGAAATTTCAGCCACCTGATATTTGACAAAGGTGCCAAGAACACACAATGGAGGAAAGACGGCATCTTCAACAAATGGTGCTGGCAAACCTGGATGTCCACCAGTAGAAGAATGAAACTAGATACTTATCTTTCACCTTGCACAAAAGTCAACTCCAAATGGATCAAAGACCTCAGTGTGAAACTGGAAACCCTGAAACCATTAGAAGAAAATATTGGCCGTAACTTACAGGATATAGACAGGTATAGGAAAGGATTTTCTAAATCAGACAGAAGTTGCTCAGGAATTAAGGTCAGCAATCAATAAGTGGGACCTCATTAAACTAAAAAGTTCTGTATAGCAAAAGAAACAATCAAAAAAGTGAAGAGAAAACCCACAGAATGGGAAAAAGAACCTTCACCGGTGACACATTTGACAGAGGTTAAACATCCAGAATATACAAAGCACTCAAAAAACAAAGAATCAAGAAACCAAATGATCCAATTAAAAGATGGGCTAAAGATCTAAACAGAGAGTTCTCAAAGGAAGAAATAAAGATGGCTAAGAA